CCTGGGTTGTGGGCACATCCCCAGTAGGGGTTGTTCAAGAGGCAGCTGGTTGATATTCTCTCTCATCGATGTTTCTAGCACTCTATTCCTCTCCCTTCCTCTCTGTAAAAAATCAATAAAATATATTTTTAAAGAAAAAATAACATTTTTCAGTTCTTTCATCAATTGACTTGCTTTTTTGATAGACTATAATTTATTAGCATGTATACACCACCCTTTTTTTCCTCCCATTCTTCCAATATAATTATGTCACAAAATTTTAAAAACACATATTCATAACTTTTATTGCTATGACTCCATGAGCCAAGTATGGAGTTTCTATTTTTTACAACTTAAAAAAAAATTGCTTCATTTTAAAATGTGCTTAGTTTTGCTTGGCCGGCATGGCTCAGTGATTGAGCGTTGACCTATGAACCAGAAGGTCAAAATTCTATTCCCGGTCAGGGCACATGCCCAAGTTGTGGGTTCAATCCCCAGTGTGAGCTGTGCAGGTGGCAGCTGATCAATAATTGTCTCTCATCATTGATGTTTCTCTCTTTCTCCCTTCGTCTTTGAAATAAATAAAAATATGCTTAGTTTTCATTCAGTAAATCTTCCCATATCCTCTAGTACCTCTTTTTAAAAATATATTTTTTATTGATTACAGAGAGAAAGGGGGAGGGAGAGAGAGATAGAAACATCAATGATGAGAATCATTGATCGGCTGCCTCCTGCACGCCCCCTACTGGGGATTGAGCCTACAACCCAGGCATGTGCCCTTGACTGGGAATCAAACCAGGGACCTTTCAGTCTGCAGGCCAACGCTCTATCCACTGAGCCGAACCAGCTAGGGCTCTAGCACCTCTTATTATGGCTTTACACACACAGTCAGACTTCTCAATTTATGAGTCCATTTTTCCCCCCTTCTTTTCAAACAAATTCAGTTTGGCTTCTCTAAATCTGCCGCACAGCTATGGATATAGGATTCCTTGAAGACTCTCATCTTTCTCTAATTTTGGAAGAATACATTCTCCTATCACTTTCTGAAAATATCTCTATTCTACTTTATTTGATTAGTTGTTGGCTGGATATAAAACTCAGTCAAAATGAATTTTCCCTCAAGCTTGACACAATGGCAAGCTTCCAGTGTCGCCATTAAAATTGTTTGTGCCATTCTTTTTCTCAGTCCTTGTGTGCACCTGTTGTTTTTTTCCCCTTCTGGCAAAATTTTAGGATTTTTGCTTTATCCTTGGTATTGTTAAGTATCGTGATAAACAGTAAATTAGTGTATTTAATTAATTGTACCGGATACTCAACGGGCGTTTCATTCAGGAAATTCAGGAAACGGCTCTTTTAATTCGGGAAAATCCTTTTTCTTTTTTTCTATTTAAGTGAATTCCTTTTATTAATTTCTTCTCTTTCCGGGCTTCCTGTTATCCAGTATTGAATCTCGAATTTATCTTTTTGCCTATTCATCTTTTTGTCTTTCTGTTCTTTAAAATCTTCTGCTTCCTTTATTGTTTCCTCCTATTAGTTTATCCAGATCCTTCTTTCAATGTTGTAAGTTTTTTGTCAGAAATGTGTGGAGGCATTTGGCGGTTTATATTTAAGAGTAAAATGAACAATGGGGGAGAGGGGGAGGTGAGGGCAGGGGGTGGGATGTGAGAACCAGGTAGAAGGGAGCTATGGGGGTAGGGGGAGGAGAAACAATTGTAATAATCTGAGCAATAAAGATTTATTAAATTAAAAAAAAAAGTAAAATGCTCAAGAGCTGACTGGAAGCCTCTTGAGCTTTCTGCAGACTGGTGGCTAGCTGAGGATTTTCCCCCTGGGGAACTCCTCTCCAGATCTGTTATCCTTATTAATTATCCTGAAGCAGGGGAGAGGATTTGAGGCTCAGCATTCAGAAAGTCAGCTTTAACTTAACTTCCCCTCCCTCCTGGGGTGAGGAGGGCAGCCCCCAGCCCCTTTCCCAGGAGCTCCTAATCCCTGAACCCCCCTGGGCTTCTCTTCACGTCATAACCCCCACCCCTGCATTCAGGTGTCACCTTTTCCCTCTCTGTTAGAACCATTCCTTTATTCACCTTCCCTCTTTCTCTGTTGTGATTTGGGAACAGTTTGAGCCTCACTTGCATCCGAGTTGGAGCCTGTGCTTCTGTTTCTTGGTGTTTTACATGACTTTTGAGAGGAGCCGCAGGAAAACTGCTGGGCTCTGCCATCCTGAAGCCTGTTAGAGCCTCCAAAACTCTCGTTGGTAGGAATCTAGTGGAGTTGGGTCCTTTTCCCAAAGATGGAGAGAGGAAGTAGGCCTTTGGCTAAAGAGGGTTGTGTGGAGACCGCCTGGTGTAATAGCCACACTCCCCAGAAGACTTCACCTGACAGCACCCTCCTGCACTGCCGCTCAGCGCCTCACAGGGACCTTAGCATCCCCTCTGGTGTCCACTTCCTGTACCTAAAGGCAGGCCAAGTCCCCAGCACCAGGAGGCCACAGCAACCTTCCAGCCAAGAGTTCCTGTTTTTTGTTTTTGTTTTTTTTTTAATATATTTTATTGATTTTTTACAGAGAGGAAGGGAGATAGAGAGCTAGAAATGTCGATGAGAGAGAAATATCAGCCAGCTGCCTCTTGCACACCCCCCACCGGGGATATGCCCACAACCAACATACATGCCCCTGACCGGAATCGAACCTGGGACCTTTCAGTCCGCAGACCGACGCTCTACCACTGAGCCAAACCGGTTTCGGCAAGAGTTCCTATTTTTGACAATACGGAGCTGTGGTGTGCGTGTTAAGTTTTCCTCATCTCTGGGAGGTGTAGGGAGTTTCCAGAAGATCACTGTTAACTGAAGCTGTGTCGTGGTGAATCCCGTGAGGGATGGAAGGAAAAGGCTTAACTAGCCCAAGAGCTTCGTCGGAAACATTTCCACCACGTTGATCTGTAGCTTCCGGTCCTCACCCTTCCCAACGAATCAGGGGTGGCTCTGTGGTCACTCTCCCTCCCCACTCGGTGCCATGTCAGCGGGCTTTCTGGGCACCACTGTTGACCCTCCGCAGCCCCATGGTGGGTGTCTTCGATGCCTCTGCCGTCACTTAGTTTATGGATTTTATTAGCACAATGAGGGTTTGGCAAAAGTAGGTATACAGAGTTGTGACTGCGTGAAACACAGAGTTCATTCATGTATTATTATTATTTTTTATTAATTATTATATCATTTTCCATACAAACAACTGTAAGCTTACTTTTGCTCCACCTCGTAGTAAATTATATCCTGTTACATATAAAAGGAAATTTGATACCACCACTATATATGGAAAGCCAGATTCCCTTGCCATTAATAGAAAGTAACTATAAAAGGAAATGCAAGGACAAGAAGACAGTTTTAAATTCTAGCTGGATTCCCCTGCCTGCGGAAGGCTTTGAACCTGAGGCCTGCTTTCAGTTGAAAGGGGAGCAATCGGCAAATGTTGGTGAGCTGTTACATTACTTCAGAGGTGATCGGGAATAGCCGCTCACTGTTCACTGTCATTTGATGGATCAGCTGGGTCTCCCATGAGGACCCTGAGTCCTGTACTTTAGAAAACACCCTTTTTTAAGTATCACAGCATGGGTCTATGTGTTGTTTTAGGATAGTGAGTAATTCCATAGGACTTGGTCCCCATCCTAGGGTGACACTTGTGACAGGAGAACATAAAGAAAACGAATGGAATTCAGACCATCTAACAAACCTTGAAGTGCAGTGACGCCTCAGAGCAATGGATAAGCCAGTGCCAGGGACAGAGCAGGGTGGCACGGGGAGGTGGACATAACCGGAGACCTTTTGGGGGGCCCGTGGAGCCTCTGAGTCACTCCTCTCCACAGAGCCCAGACAGGGATGTTCTCATTTTCACTAGTTGGGGAATGACTTAGTTTTTTTGTCCACACATTTGTAAAATGGAGTGAAAGATTCTGGATACCCCAGGAGGGTGCTGTAAGGATGGGATGGAAAAGTGAGTTAAAAAATACCTTTTCCCCTGTGGCACATGATTGTCCAAGTAATAACGCTGAGCTCCAGTTAGGTCAGTGGATTGGTGGGCTTTCAGGAGCGAGCACAGGGTGTGCCACGCTCTGAGCAGAGACGGGATGCAGTCTGGTGGCCAGTGGGGCCCTTCTTCATCAGAGTAATGGGGAAGCAGGGCAATTTGGTGGCAGCAGAGTCCTAGGCACCTGAGTAAATCTCGTTCTACCTTTTATAGGTCTGTCTTTATATATATATTTTATTGATTTTTTTTCACAGAGAGGAAGGGAGAGAGATAGAGAGTTAGAAACATTGATGAGAGAGAAACATCTATCAGCTGCTTCTTGAACACTCCCTACTGAGGATGTGCCCGCAATGAAGGTACATGCCCTTGACTGGAATCGAACCTGGGACCTTTCAGTCCACAGGCCAATGCTCTATCCCAAACTGGTTTCGAGCTGCCCTGCCTTTGTGTGTGTGTGTGTGTGTGTTTAATATATTTTATTGATTTTTACAGAGAGGAAGGGAAAGGGATAGTTAGAAACATCAATGAGAGAGAATCATCGATCAGCTGCCTCTTGCACACCCCCCACGGGGATGTGCCCGCAACCAAGGCACATGCCCCTGACCGGAATCGAACCTGGGACCTTTCAGTCCACAAGCCAACACTCCATCCACTGAGCCAAACCGGTTTCGGGGATATATATATATATATATTTATTTATTTATTTATTTATAATTTATTTTTAGAGAGGAAGGGAGAGGAAGAGAGAGTGAGAAACATCAGTCTGCTGCCTCCTGCACACCCCTATTGGGGATCAAGCCCACAACCCATGCACATGCCCTGGCCGGAATCAAACCAGCATCCCTTCGGTACACAGGATGCCACTCGACCAACCAGCCAGGACTATGGGCCAGGCTTTTACAGGAAAACCTGCTGCCTGTGCTGCGCCACGCCTCAGAGATGTGGAAAAATCAGCAGGCAGGGGGTTCAAAGTGGCTCTACCAGTGTCCCTGTTCCCTTCCAGGTACCAGGATCATCTATGACCGGAAGTTCCTGATGGAGTGCCGGAATTCACCTGTGACCAAAACACCCCCACGGGACCTGCCCACCATTCCGGGGGTCACTAGCCCCGTAAGTGACGAGCCCCCCACTGAAGCCAGCCAGAACCACCTGCAGAACAGCCCTGAAGATAAGCCAGCAGGCGGTGAGTGGCCAGGCTGGGCCAGGGTCTTCTTTGGGATGGGAATGTATGTGGCCTGAGAGTCCTAGCCACTAGGGGGAGTTTCAGGGAGGGACTGATGGTGCCTGTCTCACCTGTGGAGCAGTCAGAGTCCAAAGGGGTGGAGGGTAAGGATTGGGGGAATGGTGGGGAGAACTTTCCCCATAAAAGGGGCCCAAGAGCCACAGAAAAGATGATTTGGCCTGACCAGGTAATCTTAAGTGGGGAGATTGAGATGGAAGAGGCCCTACATAGCAACTTTCCTAAGTGTGCCTCTTTATATAATTGTTCCTAAAGCTATACCTCGTATCCACAACCTTAGAAACACATCCACGATATTCATGTGCAGGAGACAACTTTTCAAAGACATGGTGTACATGACCTCCAGGATGCCTTATGTCAGGGTGTCATCCATTAGTGGATTCTTGATGAATAGTAGAAATGCAACCAGTTATTTGCAGGTTTGCCATGTGGTCTCTAAGCCCTTCTTATCCCTCCTTCCTTCCCCCCACATAATCAGAACAGACCCCCTGGCAGAGGAGCGTATGAATGTAATCTTTGTGGCACTGTGACTGGCTCATCAGCGTGTCTGAGCTCTCCCACTGTGGGAGGCTGCAGTGTAAGCACTTGCAGACAAACTGAGTCAGCCTGGAACTCGCTGGCCCTTCACCCGGAAGGCAGGACACCAGGCCAGACAGGAAGCAGCTGAGACCTCGAGCTGGGCTGGCTCTGCTGACAGCAGCAGACTCCATCTCCCGGGAGCCTGACGGCCATGAATCATAGTTACCTTGGGAACCCCACAGCCCAAGACAGTTGCCTTGCCTTTCAGGCTTGGAGAGCAGTGGAAGGGTGGGAGGAGACACAGAGAGCAATAAGGACGGCGCTGGGTAGCAGGGTTTCCTGCGGTATGTAAAAGGATGGAGAGAAGGATGAACAGATTCACATGGCTGTTGGCACGGTGACTTCTACCCCTACTTTTTGCTTCCAATCAAAGACTCCTGAAATTTTTCTAAAAAATATTTTTATTAATTTCAGAGAGGAAGGGAGAGGGAGAGAGAAAGAGAGAGATAGAAACATCAGTAATGAGAGAGAATCACTGATCGGCTTCCTCCTGCACACCCCACACTGGGGATTGAGCCCACAACCTGGGCATGTGCCCTGATCAGGAATTGAACCTTGACCTCCTGGTTCATAGGTCGAAGCTAAACCACTGAGCCATGCCAGCTGGGGCACTCCTAAAATTGTTAAGTCACTACCTGAAGGCTGTCCCTGGTCCCCACTTACTTCCCAGTTTCTAGAACTGCTCTGGCCATAACAAATGCAGGGTTGGCCCAGTGGTGCCCCAGGCAGCAACTTTACCCACAGTAATAACCTTGTAGTTTCTCACAGTTGTGACGGGTGTGATGGTAAGGGAGGGACAGCATTTTTCATTTTGCTGAACTGGATGTAAGAAGCCAAGGCTCCTTGTCTTGGACCCACATATTTGTGCTAATATAACCAGAAGAAGAGGCCAGTGGTTTCTCTGTGGGGCTAGAAAACCTTGGGCCTTGCCCAGGAGATGCTGAATGAGGCAGTTCCATTCAAAAGAAAACCTGCAGCATGAATGCCTTGGCAATTTTAGTGGAAACGGGAGTGAGGGCGGTGAGTGGCTGCATTATTGCAGGGTCAGTTTATTCCATGAGCAATCAGAGTATGCTGAGTAGGTTTTGGGATCATTTTCTTTTTCTTTTTCTTTCTTTTTTTTTTATAAATATATATTTTATTGATTTTGTACAGAGAGGAAGGGAGAGAGATAGATAGAGAGTTAGAAACATCCATGAGAGTCATCGATCAGCTGCCTCTTGCACACCCCCTACTGGGGATATGCCTGCAACCAACGTACATGCCCTTGACCGGAATCGAACCCCGGTCAAGGGCATGTACGTCCCCAAGCCGACGCTCTATCCATTGAGCCAAACCAGTCTCGGCTGGGATCATTTTCTTAACTAAAAGTTGGGACACATGCTCCAAAAAGCTCTATGAAATAATTAAGGACTATTTTTCTATGAAATTATATTTATGTCAATTCACAAGTAGTCATTCATTCTTTTTTTTTTTTAATCAATCTTTATTGTTCATATTATTACAAAGGTTCCTCATTTCTTCCCCCCTCCACCAAGTTCCCACCCCACCCTCCGCCCCCTCCCCATCCCCCATTGTCCTCATCCATAGGTGCACAGTTTATGTTCAGTCTCTTCCTCCCTCCCTTTCCCCGATAGTAAATCCCTTTTCAGATAGTAAATCAGTTACTTAGCATTTTCTCATATCAATAATACCTCCACATGCCCAATGTTACACTTAACACAAAAGACATTTCCAAATAGGTCAACCCGCCTCATCCAGGCCCCACCCAAGGCACTCACAGATCAACACCCCAGGGCTATACTAACTCAACACATCCAGATCTAAGCCTTCATCACTTGATTCAGCAGACCCTCAAGTTCCCGCAAAAGTTTCCAGCCATGCCTGAGAGGCAGCCGTGGGGCAGGGACAGGCGAGGAGCGAGCTGTTCCGGGCCTGGCTGCTCCGGGACTGGCCTCTGTTGCTCTGGTTCGTTCCACAACCAGCTGCTCCGGGTCTGGTCACTGCTGCTCCCGACCTAGTTGCTCTGGACTTGGCTGCTGCTGCTCCGGGCCTGGCCGTACCCGACCCAGCTGCTCTGGGCCCGGTTGCTCCGGGCCTGGCCGCTCCCAGCCTGGCAGCTGCTGCTCCGGGCCTGGCCACTCCCAACCTGGCAGATGCTGCTCCGGGCCTGGCCACTCCCAGCCTGGCAGCCGCTGCTCCGGGCCTGGCCACACCAGGCCCAGCTGCTCCGGGCCTGGCTGCTCCCAGCCTGGCAGCCGCTGCTCCAGGCCTGGCCGCTCCCAGCCTGGCAGCCGCTGCTCCGGGCCTGGCCGCTCCCAGCCTGGCAGCTGCTGCTCTGGGCCTGGCCGCACAAGACCTGGCTGCTCCGGGCCTGGCCGCTCCCAGCCTGGCAACTGCTGCTCCGGGCCTGGCCGCACCCGACCCGGCTGCTCTGGGCCCGGCTGCTCCAGGCCCGGCCACTCCGGGTCTGGGTGTTCCTGGACTGGCCACCCTGGGCTTGGCCGCCTCCGCCTCAGGCCTGGCTGCCACTGCCCCAGGTCTGGCTGCTCCGGGTCTGGGTGTTCCTGGACTGGCCACCCTGGGCTTGGCCGCCTCCGCCTCAGGCCTGGCTGCCACTGCCCCAGGTCTGGCTGCTCCAGTGCTGGCTGTTGATGCTCTGGTTCTGGCTGCTGCTGCTCTGGGGCCTGGCCGTTGCTGCTCCGGGCCCGGCTGCCACTGCCTTGTGCCTGGCCACTCTAGGCCTTGCCGCCGCTGTTCCAACATTCTGTTCTTTTTTTTAAACGCATTTATGTTGCAATGTTGGCTGGTGAGTTGAGTTCTGACTTAGTCTTTGATTTTTCAAGATCATCTTTGTATTCTTTCTTAAGTAATTTTACTATCTTTTGCTCTCACTTGATTTCTTCACATTGAGAACTTCTTTGGTTTCTTCCTCCTTGTCCTGGGAGCTCAGCAGGTTGGCCTGTGGCACCCCTTTGTTCTCCGCGGGCTCCCGCGCTGCTCCAGCCTGTTGCCGGGGTCAGTGCCGCCCAGGAAGCAGCCCCCGGCCTTGGCTCTGTTGCCCGCGCTCAGCGGTCGAAGGCTCAGGGGTACCCCCCTCCCCTCTGGGGGCCCTGTCACCCGGCTCCTTGCTGGTGCCTGGCTGGCCGGTGTCCGGCAGGGGCTCCTGCTTCTTGTTGCGTTCCTCCAGTCTGGAGCTTTTTTTCTCCTTCCTGCTAGGGGAGTCTAGGATCAGACTATCCTCTGCGCGCAGTGTGTGCGACTCCGGGGGCTCCGCTTTTCGCAACTCTCCCAGGATTCCACCTCACAGCCCCGTCTCCCCCTGCCTGAGCCTGGGTCCCCAGGGTCTGTCCTCGGACTGGGGTTCAGAGCAGTCAAAACTGGGGCCCAACACAGCCGGGGCTCCCGTTTCCTTCCCTCCAGGGCAATCCCGCATCAGAGTCAACATTCCTTCCCTTGCAAGCAATGTGCGCGACTCTGGGGTTTGGGCCTTTCGCCGCTCTCCCAGGACTCCACCTCACAGCCCCGTCTCCCTCTGCTTGAGCTTGGGTCCCCAGGGATTGGCCTAGAGCTGGGGTTCAGAGCAGTCCGGACTGAGGCTCAGCGCCGCTGGAGGCTTTGTTTCTTCCGGCTAGGGTAATCCAGCATCAGAGTCAACATTCAGTCCTCTGCGCGCAATGTGCGAGCGACTCCGAGGGACTTGCTTTTCTCTGCTCCCCTAGGATTCCGCCTCACAGCCCCGTCTCCCCCTGCCAGAGCCTGGGTCCCCAGGGTCTGGCCCATAACGGGCTCAGCGCTGCCGGTTAGGGGGTTCAGCCCAGGCTGGGGGTTTTATTTCCTTCCTGCTAGGGAACGCCAGGCAGCACCCAGCCCTCTCCTCCTCTCTAGCTGCTACCTTTCCACGCGCTCGTGCGTGCGGGCGCGCACCATGTCTCCTTAGGCTTTTTTTTCAGCTCCTCTGATTTTCCTTCTGGTTTTCTCTTTCCTTCTTGTTGTAGAATTTTCAGTCAGTCGACTACCTGTAGCTCTGGGCAATGTCCACTCTACATTTTAGTTGTATTCCATTGAAATTGTTGTGTGCTGCTGCAGTTAGATGTCTACCCGAGCAGCCATCTTGGATCCTCCTCCGAGTCATTCATTCTTATAAAAAATAATAAAAAGTACACAAAATTCAGGACTATCACCTCTCCTGTGGGAGACCTGGCCTCTGTGCTTTTGGGATTGGGGAAGAGAGCACAGCTAGACAGGGCACCTTCAGATCGATGTTTCCAGGAATACCTAGTGTAGTCCTGCCTTCCCTTCGTTCTCCTTGGCAACATAAATCTTGAAGGTACACCAGAATGAAAAGATAACAAATCTCCCTGGCTTCTAAAACGTCAGTTCTAATGGTTGAGCGTCGACTACTTAGGAACCAGGAGGTCACGGTTGAATTCCCAGTCAGGCTGTGCCTGAGTTGCAGGCTTGATCCTCAGTGGTGGTGTGCAGGAGGCAGCCGATTGATTTGTGATTCTCTCTCATCATTGATGTTTCTATCTCTCTCTCTCCCTTTCCTTTCCTCTCTGAAATCAATAAAAATATATTTAAAAAAAATAAAAATAGCCTAGCTGGTTCGGCCAAGTGGATAGAGCTTCGGCTTGCAGACTGAAGGGTCCCGAGCTCAATTCCTGTCGAGGGAATATGCCTGGGTTGCAGGCTCAATCCCCAGTAGGAGGCCTGAAAAAGGCAGCCCAACAATGATTCTCTCTCATCATTGATGTTTCTGTCTCTCTCTCCCGCTCCCTCCCTCTCTGAAACCAATAAAAATATGTTTTAAAAAAATAAATAAAACAAATGTCAGTTCTAACAGTCACCATTGCTCACTTGGCCCTCTGTCCTTCCTCTCACCAGGTGAAGAATCACAGTTTGAGATGGACATTTAAAGGACCAGCCACCAGATCGAAGATTGCCTCTGGGCCTCTCTGGCCCTTTTCCGGAGAAGAGTCACACCGCCAGTTACCATCCTGAGCAGCACTGGGTGTGGAGCCGACCACCCCAGTCCTCTGCTCCCTCAGTCAGGGCACCAGTCCCCCCTTCCTCTTGGTGAACACCAGCAGATACCTCTTTGTGCCTCCATTTGTGCAAGAACTGGTACCCCAAGGGGAGTGACTCTCAAGATCACACACACCCCACAGCCTGGGCCAGGAAGTGGACTTGGAGGAGCCCTTCTGAATGACCAACCGGCTCTCTTCCTCTGAGGGCACACTCCCCTTCCTTACGTTGGTGTGCTTGGGGAAGTCCCCTCCCCTACTTCCTCCGCAGAGGAAATAAAAGCCACCTTTGCCCTTGGGCCAAAACTTGGCCCCTGTCTGAGCTTTTTTCTACTCCACGGGGATAGCAAACACCAGCTACTCTGCACAGTGCATGTAAAGCACTTTCCTATGCATTATCTCATTCGATTCTCATGCTGATCTGTGACGGAAGTAGAGCAAGTGTCTTCCTCATTTTACAGCTCGGAAGTCAAAATCACACTCTAGTAACTGAGTGGTGGGGCTGGGCTTGAACTGTGCTACTCTCCATCTCTTGTTTTCCCGTGGTGGGTGGCACCTCTTTTCTGGGCTTCGTTTCCTAAGCTGGCATGTGTCCTATCACCTTCACTCTGTGCTTCATTCATGCAAGAATCAAAGGGTAGAGCTGAGCCTCAGCCAGTGTAGAGCCTCTTTGATCCATGTATCCCTTAGGGATACACACATGAGACAAGCCCCCACAAGCTCTTTGCTTTACCATTTCATTGAAGCATACGATTTACCCATTAAGAAAAGTAGCACAAAAGAAATTATATAGGATTAGTTACCAGCAAGTGGTTCGTGCAAATAGAGGTAACATTACATTTGGTCCTGAAAAAGAGCCGGCTGGGCAGAGACAGGGGCCCAGTGTTTCCAGAATCCAGTGGTCTTATGGATTCAGGGTGTGCAAGGACAGGACATCAAGTTGCCTGCTTTGGCCAGAGCAGGCAATTTATGTGAGTGGAGATGGCTTTTATAAATGTCCAAAAAAGGCCAAATCTCTAAGGGCCTTGAAGGCCAAGCAGACATGGAGGAGCCCTTCTGAACGATCTGGCTCTGTAAGCACTTTCCTAGACATTATCTCGTTTTCGATTCTCATGCTGATCCTGTGACAAGTAGAGCAAGTGTCATCCTCATTTTACAGCTCAAAAGACCAGCTCAGAAGTTGAAGTCACACACTAGTAAATGAGAGATGGGCCTGGGTTTGAACTGGGTCTTTGCTGAGAAATAAGGTGTTTCTCATCATAGGCTGGGAGGGTGATGGCCTCTGACCAAGAGGCAGTGACTGACATGGACTTGACAAGCTCTGTTCTCGTAGCTCTGGTCAGTCTGCTCTTTGGGGAGAAGCAGGCCTTAGTGGCCAAGTCCCTGGCCTGGCCTTTTCTGTAGCTGAGTTGGAGTCCCCCTCCTGCAGTGGGAATCCATGTGCCCAGTGATGGTATGTGGAAGGACCCAGCCACAGTGGCCTGTTTACTAGACACACAGCATCCATTTTTATTTATTTATTTTTTTTACAGAGAGGAAGGGAGAAGAAAAAGTTAGAAACATCCATCAGCTGCCTTCTGCACATCTCCTACTGGGGATGTCCCCTCAACCAATAGAACCTGGGACATTTCAGTCTGCAGGCCGACGCTCTATCCACTGAGCCAAACCAGTTAGGGCAGCATACCCTTTTTATATAAAAAGAAAGTGAAACCATGGAGAGACCACCAACATCAGAGCAAGGAACAATTAAAGCTCCAACTAGGATCAAATGAGATCTGATCAGCCTTGCCAATCCCTTAGCTTTTCATTGAAAGCAACTTACTCTCTCCCCTCCTGACCAACCGGAGGTCTTGGCCACAAGTCCGCATGATCAGATCCATCGCTCTTCCAGGTGCTATATTTCAAACCAGCTTCCCTGACAATAAGGAAATTGTTCACAAGTTGTGTATCTTTCTGATTGATTGAAAGTATCTTCCAGCCGAAACTGGTTAGGCTCAGTGAATAGAGCGTCAGCCTACGAATTGAAAGGTTCCAGGTCAATTCCGGTCAAGGGCATGTACCTTGGTTGCGGGGACATCCCCGGTGTGGAGTGTGCAGGAGGCAGCTGATGGATGTTTCTCTCTCATCGATGTTTCTAGCTCTCTGTCCCTCTCCCTCTCTGTAAAAAATCAATAATATATATATATATATATTAATATATATATATATATATATATAAAATATATATATATTTTTAAGTATCCTCCAGGAAACCCATCTATTTCTGGAGTATTATTCTGACTGGATCATGTGGAATAACAAAGACCTATGACACAGTCCTTGTCCTTGAGGAAGTGAAAATCTTCGGGGGAGAGGGCTCCTATGGTCCAGTGTATGGAGTCTTAAAGCTTCTCTAGCGATACTCTAGAAAACCATCACAGTTTGCCCTGCTCACCCTCTAGCATCAGTGAACGCACTGTTTGCAGTCAGGAAACCCAGTTTGTGGGGCAGCCACATGTGATGAACCAGGAAGCAGAAGTATTTTAAGCTATGTTATGTTCCCAAGGAGCTTACCACCTGATCTGGAGATGAGAGGTTCTAATGAATAGTAAAAGGACACCCAGAAATGTTACAAGACAATATGTGATTGTCCAAGGCTAGGAGGCTGTGTTGATGCCACGAGTGAAGAAAATCAGATGCTGGCAGGATTTTAATTTGGAGAGCGCCTTCCTGGATCAGGAATGGCCTGAGGTACAGTGGCCAGAAGAACAGTTTAGCTAGAGCCATGGTCGGCAAACTGGCTCACAAGCCACATGCGGCTCTTTGGCCCCTTGAGTGTGGCTCTTCCACAAAATACCACGGCCTGGGCGAGTCTATTTTGAAGAAGTGGCGTTAGAAGAAGTTGACGTTTAAAAAAAAAATTGGCTCTCAAAAGAAATTTCAATCCTATTGTTTTGATATTTGGTTCTGTTGACTAATGAGCTTGCCAACCACTGAGCTAGAGGAATGTCAAAGCTGTTGGGTTTTCACTACATAAATGAAGAGGCTGAACCAGGTTAGTGGAAATGGCAATAGACTACTTTGGAAAAGGAGGTTTAACAGCACTTGGTGAGATAGGAGGAGAGATGTGTCAGAGATTTCTGGTCTGTGAGCCTCAAAAACAGGTCAGAAAGAAATGCCAATTTGGGAGCTGCACAGAGTAAACAGTAGGAAGGCCAAAAACAAACTTTGGGGAATGCTCCCAGTGAGCATGAGTGGCAAAATAGGACCTGAACTTCCAGTAAATTTCCAACTTCCACACTACTGTTGGCACAGCTGTGGGCAGCCCTCCAGCTCCCAGGCAGTCAGGTGAGGTATGGAGGAGGCCATCTTTTTACTGGCACCCTTTATTGCGTTATTCATCATTGTTGAAACAAAAAAAGCTCAAGGACACGCAGCCAACCAAGAAATCCCAAGGCCTGAAACCAGTACTTCAGGAAAACCTGAGTTCTTTAAAAGACTCAGCAAGCAGTCTTTTCCAGATATACGCAAACTCATTCTGATTTAACAAGCCTTTGTTAAACCTCTTCACACCCAGCATGATGCTAAGCTAGATCTTAAGGCAACACATCAGCATTTTAAGACAAACACCTGAGAAAAAAATAATCCCAGGAGGCATGATTAAGGGCAGATTAAGTGGCATGAGAGTGTGAAAGGTCAGCAGGAGAGGAGCAGTGGAAGAGTACAAAGGATATGGAGGCTGTAGGGGAAACTGCCTGAGCAAAGGTGTGCTGTCTGGAATGAATAGTGTGTGTGAGACTGAAGTGTGCCATATAGGTTTAGGTTATTGAAATGTGGTTGAATGAATGCCTTCTGTATTCTGGAGCTTTACTACCATCTTATTTATGGCCCCATCACTTAAAGTAGGTGTTTTTACTTCTGCGTTACACATGTCCACGGTCAGTGTATATCAGAATTAGGATTCCAGCTTCTATCTGTCCAATATGAAAGCCCATCCTCATTATACCACATGTGTTGGAACTGAGATCTGGGCTGTTTGGATTCTGAGCTGTAGGCAACTCGGATGTTAGTTGGAGGTATTAGAGCAAGGCAGTAATAGATTGGGGTTAAGGTAAGCCAGGAGGAAGAAAGTAAAGTCATTCAGATGTTCTTTGGGTTGCTTAGACTTAGTGGGATGGGGGGTAGGGAGACAAAGGAATGAAAGAAGAGTGATAGCATTTTCTCACTATTTATTTAGTGCCTACTATGTGCCTATGGGCAGGCACTGTTTTATGCACTAGAGAGAGCAGCGGGCAAAACTAAGCCTTTCAGAAGCTGGTGTAACATCTCTAGGAATTGAAGCTATGGGTGTGATTCCTATGTTGTGCATGCAGCTTTCATTGCTGAAATCAGAAACCTGGTCTCCTCACAATGCAGTTCAGAATTTAGCATGGCCAACCCTCCCTGCCCCCACTGAGCAGAGGACATGTGCTCCTTGCTGTGGGGACAATTAATCCTGCAGAGAAGAGCTCTGACAGGCAGCAGACACCTGTTTCTGGAAATAACTTGAGCAAAGTCTCCTCAAATGCAATAGATTAAATATGCATGAGAAAATAAGGACATGCAGGTTAATTGGGGAAAAGTTCAATCTCTACAGATTAGGTTTCCCTGAATGAGTGTGACTTCAACGTATCTTACAAGGAGAGTGGGAGAGGATGCCCCCCTGCCAACGTGGAGGGCAATCTTTCCTTCCCCAACTGTTCAGAGACCCTAGAACAGGGAAGCCAGTTTTATTTTTTTTAATTTTATTTTTATTTTTTTAATTCTTAAATCAATCTTTATTGTTCATATTATTACAAAGGTTCCTCATTTCTTCCCCCCTCCACCAGGTTCCCACCCCACCCTCCAACCCCTCCCACCCCCCATTGTCCTCATCCATAGGTGCACAGTTTATGTCCATTCTCTTCCCGCATCCACCACTCCCCTTAGGGAAGCCAGTTTTAAAGGAAGCCCTTTGACTCTGGCCAAGTAGCTCAGTTGATTAGAACATCCTCCTGATACACCAAGGTTGTAAGTTTGATCCCTGGTCAGGGCATATATAAGAAGCAATGAAGGCATAAATAAGTGGAACAACAAATACATGTTTCTCTCTACCCCCCCCCCCCAATACTTCAGGAAAAGCTGGATTTGTTAATAGACTCAGCAAGTGGTCTTCCTCACTCTCTAAAATATATATATATATAGTTTGTTTAGTAATACATTTTTTATTGAAGCATAACATACAGAAAAGTCCACAAATCAAAGAAATACAATTGAAATGAATTTCAAACTGAATGTACCTGTGTTAA